CGGTACTCGTGTGCCCGAATTAATCTCGAACTTATGGAAATGGGAAATCTTAGGCGATAAACGCGATACATGAGCATCAAACTATCCAATCGCATTCTTCTTTACTGGAGGCACTTGCAACTTCTCGTATGAGGCACCTAGATAGAGGGTGGTAGAATGCGAAATTCGAGTGTGATACTTCGGATTAGTTGTTTATTGTTTTAGGAACATTGCAACATGATCGAATCAGAGGCAGATGATTTGTTTATTTATTCAGTGGCGATGACTGCTTATTCTATGCAGAAGGTGCTTCACATTTGCAATTTGCAGTGACGAGCGAAAGCATGTGCTTTGAATTTTTCATTTATTGTTCATTGTATTTTTACAAAGATTAATTCTTAGCTCTATAAGCTGATATTCTAAAGAAAGCTCTTTCTAAAAAATAATGTCCCATAATCCAAATGTTTCCAGTCGACAAGAACGAATTTCTGTTTTATTTTAGGAACATTTCTCTCGAACGATCGATAACTCTTGACTCTATAAGCTGATATTCTAAAGAATGCCACTTCTAAAAATATTCTCGTATAGTCTAAATGTTTCCAGTCGGCAAGAATCAATTTTGTTTTTCTTCTAAGAAAATTTCTCTCGAACGATCGACGCGACCATAAATCCCAATGTCTGCGTACGCGAGCCGAGTGACTGACCACGGCCTGCTTATTTCAGTACTCGTATCTTCGCCGTGCAGTACGCGTGCCGTTGGTATATTTTCACAGTCGGTTGGAAATAGTCGGCCACTGGTCTAATATTATAATAGCGATGACTGCCGTGAGCGAGCGAGCGAGCGAGCACAGCCGAGAGCCGCGGTCGAAACGGCCGCCAGTTTCGAGCGTGTGACGCCACGGGAACGAGAACGCAACCGGATAACGTTACTTCTTGCTTGTCGTGACAGAACTGTCGCAGTTTCACCGATTCCAGCCTTCGAGGAAGGCTGGCTGTTCCGTGTCCACTTAGCACGGAAGTTGTATTCCCGCTCGTTCGGACGCGAGGACGGTGTGGAAACCGGAAGACTTTAACGTTGATGATTATCGACTGAAATTGGAATTAAACGTGTGTAATCGGTATCGTTGAGTCGTTTGCTGTGTAAATTTCTTATGAGGGCAAATTGAATTCAATATGATAATTTTCCTAAATGGAGTGTATTCGTATATTTATTGATTTAATGCTTTAAGACGAATTGATATTATAGTAAGGGGTTTAATAATATCAAAAAGAATTAGTATTTGTGGGGCATACCTAGTATCTGCTCCAGATATCTTTCGCATTGGACTGTAATAAACGAAAGTGTGGTGTCAGTGGCCGTGACAGAAAAGAAATTTCGGAATTTTCGGTTTGAAAGGTACCCTCGACCTTTATCGCTTTTCGCGCGGGTTAGCGTCATAAATTTCTGCGAACGTCAGTGACGTATTAATCTCCGTTCTGAACGCGAATTTTCCGCAGTGTTACGCAACGCTCCGATACTGATTATGCACTTGATAATAGGTTCCAGGCGCCCCGTCATAAATTATCCACGTGATTTGTGTGTTACTTTCCCGCGACAAGAAAAGCTGCCCGTTGTAAATTTTCCCATGTAAAGTGCAACGAACGCTGGCTTCAGGGTTCAACCTGCGCGCTGAATAGGGTACGATGCTCCCTCGAAACATGTTCGCCAGTTCCCAATTAAGGATAATCATTTCTAAAATTCGCTATCGTTTCGATTAAGTTGTAAAACAATTAAAACCTTAAATTCTTTCACCTTGATCATGTACAATACAATTTTCCTTGCGTTTTCGTGATAGTTTACACGGATGTGATTTTTATCGGTGGAAATGAGCCCAAGCAAGACATAACTCGTGCGCCAAACGCGTAGAATTAAAAATAGTCAAAGTGAGGCTGTGTTTGAACTCGCTTCAACTGAGAGTAAAAATCCTTAACTCGTTGGTAATATTTTCACAAAAACGTAAGGAATTTTCCAAATGTGACCAAGACAAACAAAGAATTTGTAATAAATTCTTTTGCAACTGTCGTTCAGCAGATAACACCTCCTAGCACGTGCTCTATCGTTCCAAGCAATTCGCATACTTGGCTACCGACGATATAACCGTTTCGAAGTCCACCAGCCGAACATCTTTCGAGTGCAGTGCGTCGATTTATTAGAGAAGAAAATTGTTCCGCGCGGAGGATGCGTTAACTCGATAAAAATAATGACACTCGAACGTTTCTAAATGCGATCTCGATACTCGATGGACGGTGTGCAAGTGAACTCAGTGAATGTGAACGAAGGTTTTGAATTATACGACTCTCCCGCGGATCTGTTCGGCCAGAGACGCCGTTAGCGTCGTTATCGGCGTTTTAAAATGTTGTTAACGGCTCGGGGCCAGCACGCACGATGACAGCCACCATGGTAAACGGACCGCATAAAATGGTAAATCGTCATTTCACGTTATGCCGCTTGAATCGCTGGTGGATCCGCGTGTACCGCTAACATGTACGACTTCCGACCGTGAGAGACGCGGATGCGCTCGTGCTTTGCGGTCTTAATCTCTTCAGGTGTAATTCATTTCAAAGCTATATAGAAATATTGCTCGTGTGGGACTTGAAATGATAAGAAGACGTAGTATAAATTAATAGATAGACAGGCCATTATTCTTTTATGTTTCAATTCATGTGTGAACATCCTTGAGAACTATTTATTTAATAATCAGACTCGTTACATATCGAGAAATCATTAAATCGATGGAAGGTTGTACACGGTGGAAGCTTTATCGTTGTCGTAACTTCCTCGACCGTTAAAAACCTCGATAACGAGCGAACAACTCCTTGGCTATCTTTCACCGCTTTCCAATGACTATTTGTCAACTGTAGGCGGTTTCTATTCTTTTCTTCCTTCGTATCTGGCTCCTACCTGGCGAGCGAACGATCCCGTGAACCGGTTCTTCTCCGGGGCGGAAACGTAGCCGGATTAATTAACGATTCCATTCACCGAGACAGAGTCGCTAATCGTCGATTAACCGAGCGACAGTTCTCTCCCATAATTGCATCGTAATGTCAACGTCGCGCCTGCATCGGTGGCCGTTACCAACGTAACAGGGACCTCCAGCGAGGACCCTTACAGCGTTCCATCTGTCGGGGTAGGGTCCATAGAATGGTAATTCGGGACGATTAATTCGCGATTCCGCAGGCAATATGCGCTCATGCGACCGCGTGCGTCAAATCTGTCGTGGCGGTCGTGATTGCGCGTGCTGGGGGTGGTCGCGATATCAGCTACGCGAAATGCGTTTTGGATCTGAATGGTAGCGGTTGTTGGGGGGATATGGTTAGCACGTGATAGCAGTGCATCGATCTGGACCAGTGGGAAGTGACATAGAGGCAGGCCTGACCTGAGAGGAAACGTCTTTGACACAGATGAAGATTAGATTTTGGTGGGATTTTGAAAAATTCTTCCCGGATGAACTTCTGGAGGACATTCGAATCTAGAAAGCTTGGAGTATGACTCGATATCAGTTTTTATCTCAGGAGCTCTTTTGTCGAGTTTCACACGATATTCTTTCGTGTCCAAATCAATAGGGAAAGGAATTGTTTCAAGAGATATCACTTGAAAATTATAGGATATAACAAAAGTGAGAATAAAATTGGTATTTAAGTGTATTTAGTTCAAGTAACTAGAACATTTAAAAACGTTGGGATCTACTGGTAACGAATTGAAATATAATTCGGACTGCAAGGGATTAAAGGCTCGGATCTCTTCAGAGTACTCTGACGAGGTAGTCTGATTTTGCTACTATCGTAACTATTTTAAGGGTGCCTTGAAAAGTTAAAATAGACTTCATAACTTCCGAGCATCTCCTCGATTCCCCTCGACATCCCTAAACAAATGACTCGATAATTCAGTTCTTCGCTTGAATCATCAGAATTCAATGTTTTGACATAGGTGGTCTGCAGGAAACTGTGTTTCATCCGTACACGTGGCTCTTCGTCCCTGACATTCAAGACTCCTCGTTTTAAGATTCCACGTGCCCAAATAAAACAAATCCCGAACTTCGATTCCAACTGGAACTAGGGTGTAGGATGAGGTCAGATTCTATAGATAATAGAGCTCCAGCTGCTGCACCCAGAAAATCAATTTCATCGAATTATCAGGAGCAGCACGTGTAAGGTTTCCGAAATCTTTTGTAAGAAAATTGTCGAAAGGATGAAAAGGAACTCTGGTTCTATTGTTATAGGAAAAATCCTGCTCTGCTGTTTGTGAAAGGATTCACGTTCGAGTACAACGGATTATAACGTCGTTAAACGACGTAGCCGTCCCGGTGATAACTGCCATAACCGACCATCATCGATCGAGGTTCTTCCGCGACCTAATCTACTCCTCTGCGGGTCTCAAAATCAATTAACCAGTTAACTCCTTCGTTATGCGGGATGCTCGGTCCCTCGTGTAATTAGGAACTGACCCGTACAGAATTACTGCTGTAGTCCGAGCTTTCCGTTTCACCATGATTCGCCATTCTTCGTTTCGATTTTCGAGTCGCCTTGATTTTGCTGGTACTCTCTTCTTTCGATATATTTTCCTGTGATATCCGAACCAAATTATTTGGAAAGTGATGTAATGCTATTCTTCTAGAAAATGGAGCTTCTGAATATTTAAGAATCATGCTGATGATCTGTTAATTTTGTTGAATAGCGATCCATCTGTGAAGTTTATTTTGAGAACCGTCTTTACTTGAGCAAATCCTACAGCAGCAGTTCGCTGACAATCTAACGCTTGCAAAATCCTTGAGCAAGTAGATCTTGGGTTTCTGTTTACCCCTACTAGTGTTTGGGTAGGAATTACGCTCCCTAAATTTAAGAAATCAATAGAGAAGAAGCTTTTGAGTGTCCCTTTTGCGCAAGGGTCTAAAGCTGAGAAGCTTCGTTAGTTCCTCCCTTTATCAGCCTATTATATTTCGATATGGACACAGGGTTGAATGGAAAAATTATGGTTGTTTCAGGTAAACGGTGACGATGATTGGGAGTACGAGGAAATCGTCCTGGAGAGGGGTGGCGCTGGGCTTGGGTTCAGCATCGCTGGGGGCACGGACAATCCTCACTTTGGCAACGACACCGCCATTTACATCACGAAACTCATCCCAGGCGGTGCTGCGTCCGCGGATGGCCGTCTGCGTGTCAACGACACGATACTCCAGGTGAACGATGTGTCCGTTGTCGACGTTCCGCATGCAGCAGCCGTCGACGCCCTCAAAAGAGCGGGCAACACCGTTAAACTAGTAAGTCTCTTTTTTCTTTTACTAATATCGACTTCACTTTAATTAATTAGATGGTTCAGCTATTGCTAAACACGTTCGACACAAAGTATTTTGTTCGATTATTCTTTGAGTCGCTTGGTTTACGAATTAAATTTTTTTACAATATTTATCACGTATATTCTACGCACTGTATCTTTATCAAAATCCATTCAATTCACCCTTAATCGTGTTGGAAACATTAGGATCTTAGTTCCTGATGGATTTCGCGATTTCGAAGAGCATCGGAAGGAAATTGAATTGCGATTAGTCGTGTTAAACATTATTGAACTTTACAGGCGTGGAAATCGGTAATCGACGTTGTAAAAGCGAACATCCCTCTCCCGGGAAATTAGATTAACCCACATTCTGGAAACGCGTAACAAACTACTCTTCCGAAACTGCACCCGCAATCCTAACGACTTACAACCGACGTCGCTTGAGCGATTGTCTCACTGGGATTTCACTGACGACGTCAAGTTATACTCCATGCTTGATACTGTTTTAATCTCTTTAATCATTCTCTTGGGAAAAATAATGTTTGTTTGAATAAAATATAATTCATTGGCAATATGTTCTTGGTTAAAGGTTTGTAGCCCTTGACAAGCGAACATATGAAAAGAGTATCTTTAATTCGTTACTCGAAACTTGTCTACATAAGAATTTTTTCCAATTTTTTCCCTGGGTTAAAATCACATAGTCAATGATAGCGAGCTGCCCCGAGCTTCAATTCCCCACCCCAAAAAGAGGATTTCCGTTCCTAATAGTCGAGACGAAACCCCTTGGTAAATTCCTCTACTGGTTTTTCGTCTTTGAAAAAAAATCATCGCGACGGTAATCGTATAATCGCTCCGGAAAAAAGAAAACAAATAAACGGCGGAGGATTTAAAACGTATTTTCGAACGGCGAGACTGACTCAGCTGGTTGAGATTCCATTTCAGACGGTCCAATTATTATCTGCTGGCCCGACACGAGATAATCGCGAGCGACGACAATGCTCTGGCTGTATATCTTGCGGAAAACTGAGATTTTAGCTCTTCTCTACGAAATAATACCCGCTCGTTCGCGATTCTTTAGCTCCGGTGATATCTCATCGCCCAAACTTGAATGCTCGAAATTAAAAAGCTATTTCACGAGTCCGGCAATAATAAAGTCATCGGGCAGAAGGAAGATACTTTTTTATATTCCAGTCTCCTGACTTAGAAGTTGGAAAAAAGACTATTAAAATGAGAAAAATTGAATATAATCTTGAAATGCAGTTTTTTTTAGAATTTCAGAATGTGGTTCACACATTTCCTTCCAAAAATTCTTTCCTAAGTGTAATATTTATAAATTATTCAATATTTCAACCCTGCTTCAGGTGTTAATCTCCAAGATCCAAACCAAAATTTTTTACCCAATCCATAATAAGAAAAATCAGAGGTGTTATCTACAACGGCCGAGGAAAAAATTAATTAAAAGTAGTAAACGCTTTCTTTTAAAGTTCTAAACCGTAAGACTCTCTCATAAAGCCTTGCCAGGGGATCGTTTAGCATTTGAATAGACCAGTTCAGTTGGCGACCGCTCGGGGGAATCTGCGGGAAATGCGGCCCGAATAAATTTTCGAGTGTGCTTGGTGGCTCCGTGTTTAACGTGGTTGCCTCAAACTGAAAATATTGTGCTCCGAAGGTCGAGAGATTTTTTGATATACTCGGACGTGCTCGCGTCAGCCTTCGCCCGCGTTATTAACCTTTTTCGAGGGTCTAGAAAACATGTACCAAGCGAGCGTAAAACCTTTTACGGGACCTGGATATTATTATTTAGACGTGAAGCGAGGCTCGTTGCAATATCTTCAAAGCGTTGACGTTCGGGGACTCGTTACCTCAAACTTTCGCAGGGTTTAGCTGGTCCCACCGGGTCAATTTAATTAAATGTATTTATCTTCTTAAAATGCATGTGCAAACCTAGTTCGATGTTTAAATTTTCTTATTTTCCGAATTTTATATGGGGTGTAAACTCCGATTAACACACCAGTATTGTCATAATTCTGTAATATTTCAAATCTTTTTCCAATCACAATCTTTTACTTCAAAAGAAGGCAGTACATGTTGATAGTAGTGCTGATGCTTTGGGTACATAAATCTGTTCGTTAAGTGCCAACAATTTACGAAGCTGTTAAGATAGATTATTAAAGAAGACAATCCATCAATTACTCCCCCCAAAAAGGAGTCACCGAGGAAAGCTATGATCTCGAAGATGAATCCTGTGTATAAATCACTCGAGTAAACGAGAGGAAATACCCTAGGAGGGAAGCGGGTATCTTGTCGGTTAGCCTTTGGACGGGCATTTAATTACGTGGGATTCATTGTTGCGCCACGCGAGCACGAGAGAGACTCACGACCTCGACCATGAGAGAGGGTGCGATTTATTTCGGAATACTAAACTACCCCCATGAAAACGTAAATTCCGTCCACTTAAATTCGACTCGCTTGTGCTTGGTCGAGTGGAGATACCGCCATTTTCTATTCAATTTCGCCAAGTGATCGACTTCATTGACTGTCTAATTATAAATTGATCGATTCCCGATTCCGATTAATTTACGCGAGTGGAGGCTATTTCGTTTGGCAATTTATGAAACGAACCAGACCGTAGACAAAGGACACACAGTTTAGTTATTTATTAGACGGATCATCTATTATTAAGCATACAGTCCGTAGAATTTATTTAAATATGCAATGGGACACGTCGACGTATCAATGGATTGATATAAATTAACGAATCGAGATAAAAAGGAAAGAAAATACAAAGTTCTTTATACTTCGACGAAACGCCAAACTTTATTTGGTGTGATAAGTATGTTATAAGTTTAATCAATCCTCTTCTAAATACCCCTATCCTCCAGAGTAAAAATATTCGTGTTGCATTTGCGGAACACACAATTTGATGTTTTTCGATTGGTACTTGTACGTCTAAGAATGTTTCTTAATTAATTTTCAGTACGTCCGGCGGAGGAGATACGCACAGCTGATCGAAATCGAGTTAATTAAGGGTAACAAGGGCCTCGGTTTCAGTATCGCCGGTGGTATTGGCAATCAGCATATACCCGGTGACAATGGAATCTACGTGACGAAAATTATGGAGGGCGGTGCCGCGCAAGTGGACGGCCGTCTTGTAGTCGGAGACAAATTGGTCGCCGTCAGAAACGCTCTGGTGAGTTGAAGCAAAATTATATTCTATCCTGATTTGATCCCGTGTGACACTTCCATCGTCGCCTATACAATTAACGTCAAACCGTAATCTCATTGTTTAAAATATCGTCACGATAAGCTGCTTCTTCTTGAGTAACACAATTCTTGGTTCAAGTGTTCCCTGACCTTTTATATTTAACTTCTTTAAATACTTTTCACGAGAAGATCTTTTCGAGTGATTGATGACACCCGACTATTTTTCATCGAGCGACTACATCGAAAAAGGTGTGTGCTCTTGATTAGACGATTTCTCATGCAGAGCAGGGACTGGCTCCACATAAGGAACAGATTCATTTTTCATTCAGGGGAAAAAGCGTCGGCACATGTGTGGTCACAATTAGGGTTCGAACCATTTGGTTCTGGCACTCTTGGTTTCCACAAATAGAGGACTAGGGTGGTTGGATAAAATTGATGGGCGTCTGATGGATCTTTTTCGACCGCGTTTAAAAATGGAATTCAAAAATTCGTTCATCTTTCTACCCCCTGGAACAATAATTCAGAAAATTCTACAGTAAAGTAATCATTCAAAGACATTCACCCCCAAAAAAAGAAAATATTTTCACTATCTTCCTCAAAAAATTGCTCTCGAATGCTACGTTTTGAGTTTTCCACCTAGTTCCAAAGCACCCTGTTCGTAGCGTACTATTATAACGCTTCACCGCCGCGAGGAACAGCGATAACTCAGCTCGCCTCGGTGTGTTTATTAAAAAAAATTGACAAAACTTGTAATAAATTGCCCAGGCTCCCGGATGTTGCGATCGATGGCGGTTCTTTCGACGTTTTCGGGTGAACGATTTATTTAAAAGTTTTCGCGACGGTAGATCGCAAGTCGATTTAACTTTCCGCCCGATTACGTGTCAGGCATACACTTGAGAACAACGAACGCAGCGGGAAGTTCGTCAGTTGTTTATGACGCCACCTCGAAAACTTCAACGATGTCGAGCTTTTTTCTACGCCCGCCGAACACCGTCGGATAATTACCATACACGCGACACGGTGTTTGCACCCCCGCTGTTTCGGCTGCGTTTCGTTTTTTCACGCGCCCCAACTCGCGAATGACTGACGCAAAAAAAGAGAGATAAAAAAAAAGAACGAACGAAAAACTGAAATACAGCTAGCCGGAAGATTTATTCCCGTTGTTTGCGCAGCTGCGCGAATATTTATCCCGTTGTTTATCGCGACCCAAAAACCTACTGTCAATTAAAATTTTATTCCCCTCGACGATCCGTCTTCATTGTGCTGTGAAAGTGAAATATCTCATTCAACGGCGGAACAATGGTTTCATTTTATGGTAAATGTATTTTTGTGTTTTTTTTTTGTAATAAAATTACTGCGTTATGAGGTTCTTTTTCACGTTTGAGTACGGATTTATTATTATTTGCCACGTTCTCGCTAAAGCATGAATATTATATGTATTATTAAATTTTAACAGGATATGTTTGAACACAGTAATAAGCATGACAGGGATGATGTCTCGCAGTATTTGTACTGTAATCCTTCTCGAAGTGTTCCATGAGAAGTAAAGGATGGATGATTGATAGAGGAAATTGAACGGAAGAAATCAATTACCGAGCCTCGCTAAATCTTGATCGATACTCATGGCCAGGGTTCACATTTTCCTAGCGAACTTTTCACCGCCCGCGCCTTTCCTCGGCGAGAAATAAAATACAGAGACGCGGACACGGTGAAAGGGAATAGGTTAGGAAATTAAGATGAATGAACGACGATAATGAATGGAGAGAGATATTTCACGTGACGAAAGAACGATGATAGGGTGTATCTTCCATATTCATCCAGGCGTGTCTGAAATCCTCGATGTTGTTAACCGTGTTTCGTTATCCGTGGTTCAATTTTTACAGCCGAAACCACCCTCCAGAGTTTCACTCCTGTCATGCTATCAGAGCTCCAGATTCTGCAATTTATTAGAGCTCCAGAAATATGTTATTTGTAATGCTAATGGGCGTACACCAGCGGACATTTATCAACTTTGTTTGTGATATTATTGAAATATGGGTGAAAGATATGTTTGGTTAATTCTGGATCCTTGAAACTTTATAAAAAGAGAAGTAGAAGGATTCTTGAATCATTTAATTGTGTAATTATTAACTGTGTAGGCACTGACGATGGAAGCTTAATTATCAAGCAAATGACTATTTTAAACTATTAGTAATTATTTTAAATATTATTTAGTATTGTCATGATATCAGAAGCCAACAAATGGGACCTGCTGTTACAATTTTCGTATCCATAGGGGTGACTGAAAGTGCCTCATAAATTTCCACCCCTATTGTGTAACCCATGTCTCGTTTAAATCAAAGATAAAAAAGAGGATCCCTTTAATTCCAGCAGGGCGACAAAAACCTCGAAAACGTAACGCACGAGGAAGCAGTGGCGACTCTGAAGGCGACCCAAGACCGCGTGGTTCTTCTGGTGGCGAAACCGGAAACCGGAATCGTGCCTCCGCCACCACCCCCGATGGCCTCGGACAATTCACTCTCGCCGCAACCACGTAAGCCGACTACCCTATTCTATTCGGATATATTATTCGCGTCCAGCGGGGTCGCGCCCCGCTAACTTTTCCTACTCGTCGTTTCGGGACGTTTTCACGATCTTTTCTTCTCGAATTTTCATGACGCCGTCTTCCACGACCGTAAATATTTCACACGCCGCGGCGGGAAAAATGTCGGACGTTACTTTTGTTCGTGCCGCGGCGGAAACTCTTTCAACGCCGTTTTGGTTTGGAATTTACACTGTTTCGTCGTTAAACTCTTAGAATCGCACGATTTTAAAGAAAAATGAAGCACGAGTTGCACAGACTTGCAGTTTCATTCCTTAGTAAAATGTCCTTTTATTATAATACGGTTTACTCTTTAAATATTCAAAGTTAAGAACCGTCTCTAAAATAAATAATCACTTAAATTCAATAATAAATATCTTCAAATCTTCACACATAAAAAATTTCAAATATCATTTCACGGATCAGCAATTAACAACCAATACTCGTCACTGAAAAATCGATCGATAGGTCGTCCGGCATCATTTCCTCTTAAATGTAACAGTCCCGTAATTCTTTTAGCTCCTGGATCTCCCACGGTGGTCATAAACAGCGTACCCTAGCGGAAAATGAATTTTTGATCCTTTCGCCGACTTCTCCGCGATTCTCCGTTTTCCTGTTCGTTCCAACGATCGGGTGTAACTTATTCATCGCGCTCATAAAGTCGTGCTCGTAAACTACCCCTAAGTTCTCTCGCGACGACCGGACTGCTACCCATTTCACGACTGTCGGGAGGCGGTCGCCGTGAAAATGCTCAAAAACCGAGAAAACCAGCCGGTTTTATCATCCGCCATTCAAATTACGTTTTAAACAGGAAACGTAATTGCAGCCGGATATCTCCGCCTTTGAAATGTTTGCTACAATTTTCTTGAATAAATAAAAGCACTCCGCTGACTGTCCTTTCTACTTGAGACGATCGCGTTTTCGGACGATTCAGGAGCATTTTCATATTTATTTTTTACGTACAGTCATAAATATTCGTAGCACCTATGTCTGAAAAAATTTGACTAAATTAAATAATAGTTTTGATGTTACAAAATGAATTTTTCATTATAAATATGTATATGAATAAGCTTATACGTGAATTTTTATTATTTCAACCAAAGGAGAACATATTTTAAATGTTATAAGATAATGTAAAGATTATATCTTCTTACATGTAGTATTTTGAACGCAGTACAACTTCACGTAACGCGTCCCTTCGAGGGCATCAATTGCTCCGAGGGTTGCCGCGAGTTCGGAAGCCATCTAATGTCTCTTCACCGCGGGAAAGGAAAGTTCTAAATTGCCTGTTTTCTTTCCGTTTGTTCCCAGGAAAACAAAATGGCTCTGTGTCAGCGCTGGAGAACAACTCGACCCTGCCGTACTCGCAAGAATCACGTCACGCGTCTTCACTCGCGCTTCATGGAGCGACCACGCCACGAGCTGTTTCTCAAGAGGACGTATCACGGTGAGTTCTTTCGAAGTATGCTTTTCCCCTCTTTACGACAAAAATACCGAGTAGCTGTTCCCTCTTGTGCTCTTTTGAAGTCTCTTTCTCCCTTTTCTTTTATTTTCCGAGCGCAAACCGCTCCCTCGTTCCCTCTTCGGGATCCTTTCCCCCCACGTGGTAAACTCGTTCGCGCCGAACGCCTGAAAAATAAAGATCCGGAGTGTCGCGTACACTTCTTCTCGAACGAATCATCCGAATATCGCGTGACTTCGCCCCCTCCCTTCCATTCGAGTTACTTATTTTTTACTCCCATTTCGCTCGCGCGAAGACTGGAATACTGAACTTTTCGAGGAGGGGTAGGGATCTCTTAAAATCCAAAGCAGAGCACCTCGTATATCCATGAAAAAGAAAGTTCCCAGGCCGAGTCTAGATGTCTTTATCGTCCCAATCAGTGATCCATGAATGCAACCGGACGAGTTGCGACCGCATTCCGTGCATAAACACACATCCGCGCAGCTGGTGGTTAATTATACAGTCGCAGAGACTGCTGAATTAGCTGGACGAGGGAGAGGAGGGACAACAGAGTCCACCACTCGAAGAGACAGACAAAGACAGCGTTTAGGGGCGGGCCGCAGGTTTAGGTAGTCGAGCAAGGGAAGGGGTTGCGGTCGGCTACTGTGCGGACTAATTGCCGATGGATTAAGAGCTTATCGAATCGGTCCGCCTGCCAGGAACAGGATTGGTTTGGGAGCATTATGTACCCCTCCGCGAGCCTCCGCTGTCCGCTAGACCAGTTCCACCCTCGATGTCCAGCTCACTATCTCGCATGCAACAACGACGCGACCGTCGGTACGCTTGGGTTAAGGTCAGCTGAGCATCGCGTGAGTTTCAGGATTCGTTGGCATTCGCAGTTCGACTATTGGTTGTCGAAACACTCGAGACTTCGAGTCGAGACGGTCGGTATTGTTTTAACGCCTCGTAGGACCTGTAATTCGAGCGCTTAATTAGTACCTGGGGGCACCCGAGCTCGATATCACCAGAGGTTGCGAGCCCGAACAGAGACGGAGATTAGTGCAGCGGACGTCGGCTCGTTCCATCGCGTAATAGACGTCTATATCTCGTACACTTCATACCGTTGGAGGATTCTCTCGATTATGGTCGCGGGTTATTCCTGAAATCTGTTGCCTGTTATTCTAGAAATCACTCAGAGCTATCAACTGTTTCTTTTTTTTTAAATTACTTACTAACGTCTCATCCCATTTATATATGATCCGTATTTTTAAGAACTATTTTCATGTCCCCTGTACTGAATTTAATATCCAAAAGTCATTATACTTCTCAATATCAATTTTCAAATTTGGTACGTATCCGTAAATCCCCAGGATTGCCTAGACAAGTCGTGCGGGGGTAAGACAGAAAACCGAAGTTCATCCTGAAATTGTTCGCCAACCGACGGATAATTGAGGAAGATGGAACGAATATCGAGGGCATCTTCGAGACCCCGTAGATTGAAGCTCACCTTGCCCCCAGGTGCGCGGAAAGTTTCGCGTAGCCGCACTTAATGAAATATTCCATTCATGGCAATATTTAACGGTGGGTTCTCGGCGCAGTTTCCCGAGTAGTCAAAACTGCAATTAGTTCAGCTTTCCTTTCACTCTTTCTCCGACCAGGGCGTACTCCATCCGCTTCCAACACCACACTTCCTTCCTAGGTTAAAGTTTCGAGGCTTCCATCCCCCAACCCACCCCTGTGTGGTCGAAGAATCGGATTTCGCCCACGGGGATTTCGCGTGTCTCGACTCGAACAGCCGGAAAAGTGGAGCCAGGAAGATAGACTCTCGCGTGGGAAAAGAGGATGCAACGCAGTGGAAAGAATGGCCATGGAGAGGGAATATGGAAGACGAGTTATTACGGTACTCCAGCCATCGGCGTGGTACGCGAGAAACTTTAATTTCTGGCCCCCGTAAATTAGCTGGAACCATTATGCTGCGACGGTAATTTATCCTCTGTAGGTTGCGAAACCACCCTCGTGTTTGGCCAAACCTGTGGGCTTGAGTTTTCCGGAGGAATTAGGATAATTATTTGGTAGTGCTATTCCGCTTGAGGGTTCCAGATGGCTAGGACAAGCTATCTGTAACGATGATAAACCGAATCTGAAATACCTCGTGAGGGCGAATCGTAACAACGTGGTGGTATAGGACTGGCCTAAATATTTGGAAGATTGAATAGGTTAAACCGGAAAGAAATGAGTCGTTTGTGAGTTGCTAGTGTAAAGTGCTTCTTATTTACTGGGTTGTCCAGATAGTTCGCGTCAATTTTTAAGATGTATACATGTTCTTTGTTTTCAACCATTCCGATATACAGTAAGTCTCGTAAATATTCGTACCCTCTACGTCTATTAAAGAAGTTTGTCTAAATTAAATAATAGCAATTTAAATAAATATCAAAAGCGACTGACTGTATTTAGACCTGTACCACCTACCAGAAATCGACATGGCCTTTCCAGACAGCCTAATATGTTTAGTTGCACAAGTAACTCTCCACGTGGAAGTATGCATGAAAAACTGCAACGAAGTTACAGAAAGGATTGCGTGTTGACATAGTTCTCCTCATCAGTGGGTCAAGTTGTAACAATAGTCGCAATTACCCAATAGCAGTGAACAATGCAGAAACTGCAACGTCTTCTTTTAAAAGAATCGTCGTCTCGAAGTCGAGTAAATATCAATCTCGTGGCCTGATTCCTCTCTTTTCTTCCAGCAAATTGATTCTCCCGTGTTTTTCTCTCGGGGGCGTCTTGTGTTCGCCTTACCTCGAATTACCGAAAAACAATCGAGAACGTCGATAGGCGAGAGTGAAATACCGGCCTGGGAATTGGAACAAACCACCCTTTCCAGCGTGTCAAAAATCCAACGAAATTTTCGTCTGTGGGGGATAGTTTTAAGCAATTTATACACCGATGGTCTTGAACCAAAACTAAATTGTTTTAATAACATCTTTATTTAAATAAAATTAATAGGAGTATACGGACAAGTATCGGTCACCCATTCATTTTCTTGAACATAAATTTTGATGTAGAATTATGCAACATACATCAACATAAAAAAAAAACACATTTATTACATATTATCACATGATAATTAACTCCGTGTATAGTTGGAGCATAATAATTTCCTAAATACGAGGAAAAACAGTGTGCTCGATACCAACTTGTTGAACTTCCATTCACTGCTTAATATTTGGCCAGTTTCCTCGACTTTCATTATCCGTGCACGCGCGAGATTTATTCTAACATTTCGGGCTAACTGTTGAGCAAATGTTTTTCTTGCCGTTGCGGCGGCTTAATTTCACTCGGACGAAGTCAATTACGCTTGGCAGTCAGAATGGGCGCCAAAAGTCCGTTATTAAGCTAATGCACGATTCCCCGGTAAATCCCTCCGGTAAATAACTCGCGTTTAATCACCGAGAATTATGGTTTTCTAATCCTTTGTAATATCCGTGAAGGGCTTGACGCAGTCTCGCTCGTTAAACGCGTTCATAAATCCTGGATGCACCTGAGCTACGAACGCGAGTGTGACCATAACACCAACGCGTGGCTTCTTTATTAGGTCTTTCTTACTTTGATACTGTATTCACGTTGCACGAGTTAATATATCTCCTACAGCTCTATTCATGTTTTTGATTAGATGCTGCTCTGATGGAGTACCAAATACTATTCATATACGCTTTTATTTTAAAATTAGCATATCAATTATGAAAGTTGTTCGAGGTTATTTTGATACAGTTACAGAAATTCCAGGCGTGGTTTAATTTATAATATTTGTTTTCAATAGCTTCAACCCTTTATTGGAATCCACTTCAGTAGTAAATAATCACAAATATTCACTGAATCCTAAACTCACGTGCTTCAGAATATCCTCATAAACTCGTGACGTCACTTCTACGACCTTGAACGATCTTGAATGTCCTTGCACAACCTTGCATGCCTTGGATAATAATAAACATCATTGCTTCCCAACCCCCGATCTTCCGCGACTCCGATCTGTGACGTCTTCCTCGAAACCGGAAACTGTAAAGTTCCTGGCGGGTGTCGGTGGTTACAACGTGTCCACAGATTCGCGTGGTAGTTGAGGAAGCACCGACGCTCAACTCTGAGGTCAGATTCACCCCGTCCGAAAGGGTAGAGGGTGAGGCAGAGGCGAATTCTTGGCACGGGCTGCAGTGGCTCGGTCACCAAGCGATCCATACACGCGTGCGCTTACAAACACACACATACGCGTGCGTAAACTCGGAAAACCTCGAACGTATTTGCGTTTCGACGTGTACAGGCAGGCTTCAAAAGTGACTCGCCGCAAATTTGTGCAAATAATTCGCGGCTAAGTCCTACCGAAAAATTCAAAGCGAACTCTGGTCAACATTTACTCCACGTAATTCGATTACCAGAATTAGGACGCGCCAGGAATCGCTGTTTCGCGGGGAGATTGTTATTACAGGATCAACACTTGGGTTTCATGACGTGTCTGTAGTTGAAATTAAATACATTGGTAATGTAAACAAGGAATTGTAGTTATGCTCGGTGAGAGGTGATGAAATTTACATTTCCATACCTGGTAAGACCCAATATTAATCAACTTTTGTTAAAAATATATGTAAACTAAATTCACCACTGATTTTATTCCATGGAGAAATTAAGATTGACTTATTTGAGAGATCTCGAATTTCGGAGCACACGGTAGTCCTCCTTTTTTGGCAAACAGCGCGCAGGTATACATGCATCTGTGGCTGTGTGGGACAGTCCACGCGCAGCTGATGCACTCGTGTGGGTGCATCTATAGCTGCAGTCTTGAATGCAGGCCAAGGTCAAAGCTGGCCCGGGTCACGAGCTTGCTCGCTGGCTTTCGACAGTTTCGCTTACGTAATACGCGGTATCGCTCGTATCGATCTGTTACACCTAAAGATGTGTCCGAACGCGGCTGGTTGCATCTTCGAAGAAGATGTTACCAAATATGGACGAATTTCGTC